TTCAGCCATGTGGGGCGACGCAGACTAGACGGGCAGGTGGGACAAGAGGAACCAGTAGTTGGAGACTCTAGGTGGTATGGCTCAGAACCGATGTCAGTGGTGCAGATGTATACAGACATTATCCTCACCTCAACGCCATACCAAATCTAGCCATTTTTTCATTCTCCCTTTCTCTCTTTTTGTACATTACATTTCTTTTGACTGAATTTTCTTATCTTCATCTTGCGCCTCACTGCCTTTTTACTTGATGTACTGATATGAACTGTGGCAACTCGGACCGTTAAGCAGTAATGCCTGGTCTTGTTCATTTGGATGGATGGAGGCACTTTCTTATACAGCATTCTCCGACTTCAAACCAACTATCGATACATATATTATATTGCTGTAAAGCCCTCACTTGTTGAGTACCAGTCTGTATGTCTGTGTCTTACTGGCTGAGAGAAACATGAGATAGTGAAGATGAGCACATGAAATACATATTTATAGACGAGTTATTTAAGCATCCTGAGGATATTTTTTTAGAAACAGCGGTAAAAACAGTTAATGACTTAGATCCAAAGAATAGCGAACATCAACGGATTTCCGCAACCTCATCCAAACTGTTCGACGCGAAAAGGCTGTTTGCAGCTGACTCCAACCACAACAAGAAGCGAAATGAGCTTAATTTTAAACTGTACAAAATTCCTTGTAATGCTCGTGAGCATTGGAGGGTGGTGAAAATGAAGGGATGATGAATGCATCGTAATCATCACAGAAAGAGATATGACGCTTATAACCTTCCAGGACAGGCTGCTAAGACGTTGGGCAGATCACTTTGAAGCACAGTTCAACTGGCCTGCAGCCATACTTCAGTTGTATCAAAAATGAAACGATGCAAAGTAGCCAGACCTGACGGATTGCTATCCAGATTTTTCAAGGATGAAGGTAAGAAACTGGTGATTACAGTGACGGAGGCATTGCATAGTTTATGCGAATCAGAGGTAGTGCCGTTGGAACGATCTTTTCTGATTATCCCAGTTTACAAAAGGAGAGATAAGTCTTCTTGTGACAACCAGGAGGCAGTTATTTTGACCAATATTGTGTCCAAGACTCTAGGATCCATGGATATCTTAAGGCTAACTGGATCTTGAGAAGAGTAAACTCGAGGAAACCAAGCAGGTTTAAGACCTGGACGAAAATGAATCTATCAGATTTTCACTCTCCGACAGGTTCTAGAACACAGGCATACTTACAGGCGGCCGACACTTGACATATTTCTTGAGTTGTAGGTATCATCTGACTCAGTCGACCGTGAGATGTTGTGACAGTGTCTGACTGTGAAGAGAATGCCGGGAAAGTACATAACGTTATTCAAACCTCCTTGCTTGAACTCACTCAGCCGTGTAAAGGATTGTGGGAAGCTGTCATCGAAATTGATGATATCTATTGATATCCGCCAGGGATGTCTTCTATCAACGTAAGAAATATGGACAATTGGACTCTAACCTAGTGGCTCAGTGGTAACGTGTAGCGCTCGCCACCTGAAGGTCCTGGGTTTGATTCTAGGAGGGTCATGGGTGCGCACTGTTAAGGAGTCTTACACTGAGATGAAACAGCTATCTAGTACTTCCAGTTTTCCAATGTTTCTCCAACTGATATCAGCCCATGATGAATACCAACCTGTTATGTACATAACCTTTGGTACCTCTGACTTCACAGAGACTGACCTACTTGTTATGCTTTGAAAACTCCTACATACGGCTAACCATATACAGATATGGACTGTCAGCCACAAACGTCCTTGTTGACTCCTGACTGAATTAATTAAAATGGAAAAGACATAATTGACGTGTAGGACTGAAGACAATAATCAGTGGTAAATATCTCTAAATATACATACATAGTTTGGCGTTTAAAATGATGATATGGATTGGGTTGTCGATTGTTTGTCAGTCTAACTGTAGAGGTCGTGAACATAAAGTGCCTTTTGATTTGTCCATCATCGGTCTCTATCCCAAAATCACTACTCCCTGTAGGACTTCTGGTAGACTTGGAGTAAGCAGACGATGTTGTCCTACTTGGTGAAGACACTGACAAAATACAGGATCTTCAAAACGCATTGAACAGAAATCTGTGTATGTTTAGCATGCTCCAAATTGGTACCTTACTTCTCCCTATTTAATTATGGGGAGTTAAGTGGTGAAATATGTCGAACACTTCAGTTACTCGGAGAGTAGCATCAGCTTGAACGGGCCGGTTGCTGACGAAATCTCACGTCGGAAATAGAGGGCTCGTTCAGTATTTATCAACTTGTGTCCTCTACGGCGCCAACTGGAGAGACATTCGACTATCCATCAAAGGACGAGTATACTGCTCGGCAGTCCATTCTGTCCTGCTATACAGCTGTGAGACATTGTCATTAAAAGTAGAGGACATTAAGCAGTTACAAGATTTTGATCATAGATGTCTTCTCTGCATTGCTCGCTTTTGGTGGAATCAGCATGTGAACAATGTTGAAGTCAGGTAAAGGGTACTATGCAAGACAGCCCAGCCGATTGATGAGGTTGAGGTGCAGATGTATAGAGACATTATCTTCACCTCAACGCCATACCAAATCTAGCCATTTTTTCATTCTCCCTTTCTCTCTTTTTGTACATTACATTTCTTTTGACTGAATTTTCTTATCTTCATCTTGCGCCTCACTGCCTTTTTACTTGATGTACTGATATGAACTGTGGCAACTCGGACCGTTAAGCAGTAATGCCTGGTCCTATGTTGACATTGAATGATTGATTCATTCTTCCAGTCCATTCCTAATTTGGCTAGCACAGACCGCTGAAGTGACCAGTATTATTAAAACGTTAGCGATGACTCAACATGTGTAGCACGTACAACCAAGCCACCTCAATCAGTGAAGGTTCACAACCTCGCCTTCTGACTCGTATTTTCTTAATTCTCTATGCCTAAGCTGAACAACAGACCAATCCTCTGATAAGTAGTCGAATATCTTGTTTACGGCAATATTAGCGTAAGTTGACAAATGCCAAACGGGTCTTCGTATTTTAACTGAAATTTGTCAGCAACCAACCCATTGAGGATGCTGTAAGTACCCAACTTAGTGAAGTGGTTGATGTTGCTCACATTCGCATCTTGTCACTAACCTAGATCTCAATGCAGAGCAGTCCTGAGGTACCATGTTGCATTTGACAGGTGTTAAATATAGGCCAAGCATGCATAGACGTTTGTTGTTCTGAAGGCTTTACATTGCCCAAGTGGATAATATCATCACTCTATTTGTATTCAGTCACGTACCCATCAAGGTGTAAGTTAATCCCTGGAAAGTTAGGTCTATACACATTCACATCCATCAACAAGCTGAGGAAAAGGTTTAAAAGGAATGGTGATAGTGACTATCTCTGACAGGCACCACTGGGTATTGTTAATTCAACTGTCAGTTTTCCATGATTCCTAACACATTCGCGTGAGTTTGAGTTGAGAAAGGTGATTAGCAAAACACACCTGCTCAACATTCCTTCCTCATAGTCACAAACTGCCACAACACATCAGTCGACTGGCTTCAATGCCACTTACGGGTCGAGAAATATGGAATACTGTTAAAGTTTTAACAGCTGATCCGTGCACCCTCATTCATGTTCAAAGTCTGCTTGGTTTTCTTGAGCTCCGTTTAGGCATTCGATGACCATGGACCCTAGGATCTTAGACACTGTTAGTCGAACTAATTTCGCTGTGGCCATAGGAAGACCTTATTCCTTTATACATTGGAGTGATCAGCGATTTGGACCGGTCTAACGGAACTCCCTCCGCTTCTCACCCACTACTTATTGCTGAGAATAGGAATAATGCTAAGGATTCGAAAAGTCACGTAGGGTATTCTTCGAAGGGCTTTTTGGCAGCCTTTGAGACAAGAAAACTACGGCATAATCCCTGTCAGCTAAAATTCTGAATGGCAAGCGACACGTCAAACTCTCTAGTCATACGAT